CTGTCTCCTGCCCCTCAGGTCTCATTGGCCGCGGCGAGCTGCGCTCCGTGCGTGCCCACAGAGGCAGCGCCTGGCCGGCTCCCTTCCCAAATGTGTCCGTCAGCTGCAGGCACAAAAGAGTTAAATTTTAAAGCAAATCAAATTCCCATTGGCCACTGTATATTATCTCAGCAGTCTTCATTTGATACCTCTTTAATACAGAAAGGAGCTTTTCAAACCCCTTTTCTCTCTTTTCTCCCCGCCACTCTTTAAGAGCAATAAATGTTCAACTGCAATAACTATAAATCAATCTCAGCTCTGTTCAAATCCTATTCATGCGAAGGGCTGGTAGAGGGGAGAGAGCTCCCCCCTCCACCCCCCACCCCCCAAAAAGCAGCTGCTGGGCTCTAATCTCCTTTCTTGCACTGTCATTCACCCTCATTTTTCCTCCATCACCCCATCCCTGCAATCTTTTCTTGTTCTGCTTTTCTTTTCTCTCTTTGCTGCATTATGATCCCATGTCTCCCCTCATCAGACCCCAACCTTGTCCAGATCCTGACCATCCCCTTGTAGGCTGTGAAAGAAAAGAAGAGTCCATGGATGTCAAATTGGTCTCAAAAAGACCATGAAAGATTGATTTGCTCCACTTTTCTTCTGCCTGACATTATTTCTGAGGGTTCTGAATGGGAAACCAGAAAGTCTGGGACTGGAATAAAGATGTTCTCTCTGTAAGGGGGAGACGGGGGGAAAAATGCCCATTTACTCCTGGCCCATCAACCCTGCAAAACAGAGCAAAAGAAAAGAGGACTGTGGCTATTCAAAGTCAGACCAATATGTACACCTCCCAACAATATGCCAATATACTGAGGGCTTCTCTATTAACACCCATGAATATTAAAGTGCTCACTAAACGCTCAGAAGGAACTTTGGGAATATACACATGAAAATACAAGCAGCATTGTGCGGGGCTCAGAACAATGGAGCGGCGATAATGGGCCTTCTCTATTAACAGCCATGAATATTAAACTTGTTTCCTCTTAAATGTTAAAAGGAGGGATAGCTACGATATTAAAAAAGAGAAACGAAAAGGCGGTGTGGGGGGGGTATAAGCACCTTCCTTGTACCGGGAGGAGGTTTGGAAAACAGCTGGGGATATTTAAAACCGCTCAAAAAAATAGGAGGATTTATTTTTCCACCTTTTACAAGCAAGGGGGAGATGATTTTTTTTGGGGGCCCCCCCCCCCCCCCCCGCACAACCCGCGCCAGTGCCCGGACAGCCACGGGGGTTACGGGTGTGTTTTTGTCGTGGGATAACTTGGGGGATCCAAGGGGATCGCTTGTTTTCAGCTGCTGAAAAAAATATATGTGTTTTGAAAGCCTTCCACCTGATGTGCTATACATAGCAAAGCTAAAATATTCATATGCCACGTAGGCTGGTGGGTCTGATATCCAAAGCCCAGAAAGGCAAAATAAACTTATTTTTATGTACGTTAAAAACAAACAAATAAACAAAAAAAAACCCGGTAGGTTATTAACCTTTTCTTTCTAGGACAACGCTGCCTCTCTCCGGGCAAATGCCCTCAGCAGCCAAAGATTTTGACTGCTTCCTGACAGTTACAAATACTCTTGATTGTGTTAACAGGAACACGCGATTTCACCTGCACTCTAAGATCCTCTCCGCAAGCCTGCGCTGCCAAGGGCAGAACCCGCCCGACGGGCTAACTCTGCGAAATACAAGCCTGGGGCTGAGCGAGCCCAGCCCGGTGCAGAGAGAAACCCGCTTTGTTGGCCCGCGAGCTGGCCAGGGCGAAGGCTGCTGCAGCAGGCTCCGAAACGGGCCGTGCCGGGGCAGGGCAGAGCCCGGCGCGGTCTGGGCACGGCGCTGGTGTTGGGGTGGGAAGGCGAGGGGGAGCCTGGGGGGGGAGGAGGGGGCTGCCCGAGGCCGAGGAGTTTCTGCGCCCGAGGTTTGGGGCAGGCCCAGGGACATGTCCCCTCTTTGGGGATACGTCCTCTCTGCCCCTCCTGGGCACGGTTTGTGCCCTCTGGAGACACACGGTATGCCGGAGCCGGCCTTTGTTGCCTGAGGAATTTGGGGGCTCAGTGTTTCCCCCCCCAACCCTCCTCTGTCCTAGCCCTTTGCAGCCCCTTGTCCCCATGAAAATCAAAAGAACAAGGCTAAGGAGAGGGCTCTAAGCTCCGACACAGCAGGATTGGGTTTAAATCCAGGAAAGATTAACCCTTTGCTGAGCCAGCAAAGCTGCAGGTCTTGAGGGAGGGGGACACTCTGGATTTAGGGGGACTGCTCTGATGCCACCTTTGGCGGGGACAGAAGTGGGTCGGCAGAGGATGACGGGTTTTAGGGACCAGGCAAAGGCTCAGCAGAGCAGGCAGGGATCGCGGTGCGGGCACCGGGGCTGCCTGGGGAGCGTCTTTGGGTCTAGAGGTGGGCAGGAGCGTGGCAGCGAGCAGCAGGGCTCTGACCCGGCTCCCTCCGCAGCAGCAGAGCCCCAGAGATGCTGGAACTCTTCTGGGGTGGGGGTCTGGCCCCTGCATCTCCTGGGGGGACGTGGCAGGACACAGCATAGCTGTTCCCACTGTGGGGAGAGATTCACTCCTGGCCCCTCTCCCCTGTGGGGCCTGGAGGTGGCAGGTCTCCCTGGCACAAGACCTGGCTCTTCCCCCTTTCCCCTGGGAAACGCGGCAGGGACGCAGGTTTGGGCACCTCCTGGGCTGGGTGCTGCAGCTGGGACCCTGACGGTGGAGTGGAGGTGCAAGAGCATACGCGGGGTGAGCCCGGTGCCCAGCGCTGGCATTCTCCCCGGCTGCGTTTCAGGACTGTCCTCAGCTTGTAGGACCCAGCGCTGGTTAATCCCCGAGGGACCCCGGGGGAAGGCACGGGTTTCTGCTCCAGGTCGCCTGCGGACACTGCACCTCTCCTGCCCACCCCGCGGCCCTGTAAGCAGCCCGGCTCGGGGTGGGGGGCACGGGTCTCCCCGGAGCT